GATTCATTCCATAACTAACATTTGTTGAAAACATTTATCTATTTTTACTGTAAACTGCATCATTATATAATTTATTATAATTTATAAAAAGTTATTGAAGTTACAAAGTTCTTATTTACTTATTTATTTATTTATTTATAGTATTATAATAATATCATTATAATCGCTATACATCCATCTTTGTTGCACATTGTTGCACTCCTTGTCTACGATAGTGCTGGCATCGAACTACTTCTCAGTTCCAATTGAGAAGTATAATTGGTAAAAAGATAAATAGAAAATCGGATAGATAGCAGCACGTAACACATTTTACCGCGGAGTGGTATACTCCTTTTAATTAATAATGCTTCCAACAATCATTGACCAACTAGAATAGACCGAACATAAAATACTTTTATGTGTCCCGTGTTTCGGGGATCAGGTATACGTGTGATCAGACATGAGCGAGTAATACAAATCAACGTATGGTCACATACAGTAAACAATTTATTTTTAGATTTGCCGTAAATCACTCGTCTTCATTCAAATTTACCTAAACGTTAGCTCTTTGTTCTTATCGTAAAATCGGAGGATCTACTTTCGAAGCAGATGAATTCTCGTAGCTGAGATTTTATATTTTTGGAATTTTTCCACGACTCGAAATTTTATCTCAACCGGTGGCCATTCGGAATTATAGCCCAAAATAAATTTAAGTAATTATGAATTATTATTATATAAAATTTAATTAGTCATGAATTACTTTTAAAAACAATAAAGTACAAATAATTATATATTTAAAATGTGTGTTGTACTTCTTTATAATAATTCAAAATTTAAAATTAAAAATTTCAATACTTTACGTATAGATGAATTCATAAAACACGGATAAAACTCTTGCTGATACTCACATGAGTACATAATATAAAATGAAATAGTTTAGATTTTGTGCTCCGGAATCTGGAGATACACTATTGAATAACACTCTAACGGATTTCGTCACTGTAACGACAATTAAGTCATTTTACTTGGCATAGTTCTCCAATTCACCGTTATTTAAGCGTAGAGGGCGCTAAAAAACCAGTGATTCTTTTTTCCTGAGTTGGTATTTCAAATTTTGAAACACGAAATTCCTTTTCATATCAGGCTTATAATCCTATCTTGAGTCAATGATACGATATATGCATAGATGGCAGTAGCTTCGCAGATAAGGCGAGCGATAGTGCACAAGATAGAGATGACAATTAATTCCTACGTAATATCCATAAATTGACCAAAATTACATTCGCAAAACAAGCTAATTAAAGGGGTTAATTTGTGACATTTTATTATTGAATCTTCTTAGTTGGACCCTAATCTTTCTTCTTACGTTCCATTTGAACTAATAACATAAAACGCACGAAAAGAGACATAAATTCTGTACAACAGATCGTAGCACCTTCACTTGAATAATATTTAATTCCTTTGCGCACCACGTTTGAAATTTGGCACAAAATTATTCGCAGTTATAGTTGGAGGATAAAGAAAAAGCTTCACGTACAATTTTATGCAATCAATAGCTATTAGCAATTATCGTTCTATGATTACATAAGAACGGTTTGTACATGATTTATGTTATAGTGAATTAATTTATAAACTTCTTACATGTAATATAAAATACAGAATCCGAGGGAGATTCTGTAATTTTATAAAATTCAATTTACAGCGCGATATAATCATTTTAATGATAAAAGCTTAATTAACAATACATCTTACGATCTAATGTGGCACGTCTTATGATATTTTTATAAGCTAATTTTTATCAATGAATCCCATTTAATTACAATTTAAAGGAATGTGATATTTCTTTGTGTTCCTTCAAACATAACACGTTGAATAAAAGTTTATTGTTCATCATATGTTCAAAGTGAACATGGTCTATTCTAAGGTTTTCGCAATCAACGACAAATGCTCGAGACAAAACCTTTGGGACAATGAGAAGTGTATGTAGGAACTTTTTTCTTATTTGTTGGTCAGCGTGAATAACGAAACGTGTATTTGTTAAAAAGTGAGACTAGGCTCGACACTGAACAATAAGGGATAGCTAGAATTATGAAGTAGTTGTCAGACGTTTAATTGCCATTCACGAATTTCAATGTACTGTAAATTCTGCGAAACGGCGATAGAATGGCGAAGTAAAGTTGCAAATGGAAAATGGCGAAAATCGTGAAAGTATCCGAGTCGTTACCCACGATCCTAGTTTGTGAATATTGTGCTAACCTTACGTTCAAGCAAATAGAAGATTTCATAAGGTGGGTCCGTCTCTCCCTTGTCTATTTGCAACAAAAAATATCTTGCAGCAGACAGCTTCGACTTTAATGAATTTCCAGCGCCGCGGACAGATGAAATTACTTTGAATCTTCGATACATCTTGTACAACATTCGTTCATATTTAACTCGTATGACAAATCATTTACACCGAACGTACTTGTATAAAATAAATTGCACAGTCACGAAACGTAATACAGCGACAACTAAATCGCTCAGAAATCAAAGTGATCAACTTCAACATTCCGAAATTTTTTTTTAATTTTAATAAACATGTGATTAATGTTTGAGTTTTCAAAAATCAAACAATTGATTCTAGCTAAGTTGATTGGTTTAGCTTCTGTACAACTTAGGTGTACAATATTCTCAATTAACGATGTGTAATTTGGTTTCAGACATTTAAGAGATCAACATTGCTCTAGAGAAGGAGGTTCATTCGTGTGCCTTTACGGTTATAATGGAGTATGCACTAGTCTTCCTGTGGAGGGTGTTTCTGACAAAGATTATATAGCACATGCTACTAAACACGCAGTAATGCAACAGCAACATAAAAGCAATGGTCAACTGTTAGAACCCTGTTCATCGTGGACTGTGTATTCTGCAGCACAGAATTTACCAGCTGTTTTAAATGATCCTTTCAAAGGAAAACAAAGTAACTTTTTAACTCGTACTTGGGGAGATGGATTCGTAGAGAAGGTTGATATACCTAAAAGTCCTTACCTTCCCGAAATCACAATGCAACACTTTGAATCATATTTAAAAAAAATTGCAAGGGTAATTAATACATGAAAAGTGATGTGTTTATTCTGTTAAAATGTAACTAATTTGAAAATCTTTTCTTTTACAGAGGTACAGAAAACATTCTCGTATGAATTCAAATATCAGTAGGCCAACTACACCTAATGAATTATTACAAAATTTTCCAAATTTAAGGAAAGTTAAATCCTTGGGTAAATATAACATTTATGTAACAAAATAGTTATATTTTCATTGTGAGATATAGAATTCTTATATTAAAAATTTACAGATCGAATGCAGTTTGATTTGTCTAATATCCCAAAAATCTTTTTAACGCCTAATTTGGATCTTTCTCAGAAAGATAATTTTTATGCAGTGTTTCCATTTGCAAAAAATGGATTGTTAAATGAGGATTCTAATATTGTTATGAATGTAAAGCAAATGCAAGAAAAGGTATACCACTTGTATTAAAAATTGCATAAAGTATAAAAATTAAAATCAATAATATATTTTAATGTATTTGTGGAATAGCTAAGTCATTATTTAGATGTTGTGGAAGTTAGAATAGCAGAACAAGTTGCTTCTAAGTCTCAAGCATTTTTCCATGCTATGACTTCTCATGATGCCCTAATGGAGCAACTTACACAAACTATTACAGTTCTAAAAGCACTTAGAAAAAATATACACCAAGTTGATAAGCATCTAGTCAATGATTCTTTAGAAATTTTAAGGTGAATTGTGAATTTATTTTATAATTCTAATATTATATGTATATTAATTTGGTTATATTTATAGGTTGGAACGGGCGAGATCTAATCGATTATTGGTTCAAGAAAAACTAAAACTTATGGCTACGGTACACCAAAGTCAACCAATGATACAATTGTTGTTGTCCACGCCAGATTATGTTGCAGCCTTAGACCTCATTGCTACAACACAAGAAATACTTTTACAGGAATTGAATGGAGTACATAGTTTTAGGTACATTTATATAAATAAGTATTTTGATAATAAGATAAATATCTCATTTAACTTTTCTTTCTTTCTTCTATAGACATTTAAGTTCTCAATTGACAGAAATGGAAAAACTTGTTGATAAAATGTTATCTACAGAATTTCAAAGATATGCAACTGCAGATTTAAACAGACCGTTAGGAGGAGAAAATACAGTTTTGGACGGTGTAAGTATATGTCAAAGTTTTAAAAGTTTTGTCTACTTAGTTCGTAGCAAACAAACCGTCGTGCATCTCTTCCCAGTGAGATCATTTGTACATCCTCAACGAACAGGATAAACTTGTTTCCATCATTTCTGGTCTCCTGAGGCAAAAACATTTTCAATTTGTGGATACTTATAAAGAAGAAGCAGTGACGACGGTCCGAGCTGTAACAAAACAAAGGGTCATAGAAGCTTTAGCAGCGAGCGATTGTTGCAGTGATCAACAAGCTGCAGCTTTGGAAGTTGGTGGACTTTCTCTCGCGGAAAGACTAACGTTACTTCACAATGCTATACAATCTTTAACATTCCTTTTGATGCGAGTTAAGGTATATATCGTATCATATTTTTGGAATTGTAGTAAGATATAATATATTTTGACACACGGTGTAATTTTCTAGGCCGTTCACGATGTAATGCGAGATACAGCAGATCTAGCGGCAGGCCGAGTGTGTGACGGATCATTCGATGATACGATTCCTGATCGCTTATTAACTCAAGCAGAACATTCGCGAATAACGATCAAACTTAATGATATGATAACTTCCATTTGTGATTACTGTCATGAGCGAATGGGAAATCTGCTTTCTGCAGGTACAAATGATAAAGATAGATCACAAAACGAAAAAGAAAAATTAAACACTGAGAATTTAAATAATAAACAAGAAGAAAAAGAGTGTCAAACTTGGAATGATAAATCATCTTGGTTAAGTAAAAGAGCAACAACAGCTCAAGTGTGTCAACTAGCCAATTTAGTTGAGGAGTTCACAGAAACTTGTGAAAAGCTCTGTGGCAAACAATGCACAGGTTTACGATCTGCATTTAAGGTATGTGCTATTTACAAATTGTGTGTTTATAGTAACAACACTAGCATTTTATATTTTATAACTTGTATTTTCTAAAAATATAGGCACAAGCTAGTAAATTCATTCAAAGATTTCATACCGAGCTCAAAACAAAGCTTACTCTTTTATTAGAATCTGAAAGATGGAAGCAAGCTGATGTACCACCAGAATTTCAATCATTAGTAACCTATGTATATGAAAATAAAACTTTTCCGCCAAATCTATTTAAAGTTGATGATAAAGTTAGTAAAGGTGGTGTTCAAAACTTCATTATGGTAGGAGATGAAAAATATGCTGTTGTTGGTACAGCTTTAATGCTTATACAAATGATACACGAATATTGCAGGTAATTCCTGAAATTTTGAATCTATGAATGTTCTGTGAAATACTCAATGAAACTTTATTTTTAGAACTGGGAGTGAACTAATAACTTTATCAGGAACAATTGGAAGACATTTAGCGGAATTACTGCGACATTATAATTCACGTTGTTGTCAACTTGTCCTTGGAGCTGGAGCAATGCAGGTTGCTGGTTTAAAAACTATTACCAGTACAATACTTGTATTAGCAGCACGTAGTTTAAAACTAATTTTATGGTTTATGCCTTATGTCAAATCACATTTTCAAAGTAAGTTGATTCTTATTTAGCATTCAACTTACGTAAAAATTATAATATTAATGCTTAGATTTTGTTATAGTGTTTGCAGAGCAAAACCCTAGTCGTGGACTTGGTACATCTGGTATAAGCGGTGGTGTTGCTCTATTGGATAGTGTTGAAAGAGATATTCGTGCGCATGTAAAAGAAATTGAAAGCAAAATTCTTACTATTGTTGACAATCTACTGGGTGGTCAAATATCGAAATGGACTGCAAGACCGCCAGTACCATCGAAATCATTCAGAAATATTTCTAGGTAATTATTTAAAACAATAATTATAATAATTGTTTTACTATAACTATAATTACTATACATGTGAAATTTCTAATTACAGTTACTTAATGAAACTACATGAAGCAGTTTCTGGAATTCTCCCAGTAGTTGAAGTACAAACTTTATATCGTACAGTAAATACATCTTTCAAAGAAAAACTTAGAGAGCAATTAGTCAAAATGAATATAGTAAATAACGGTGGTCCACAACATGGTGTAGTTACGTCTGAACTTACATTTTACCTCGAAGCATTGCGAAAATTAAAAGTGTTACCAACTAATGAATTAGATGACAATTGGATGAGTGATATATGGACCAGATAACATGCAGAGCGTGTGATATATTGCATAATAGAAGCGATGAAATATTGTAGAAAAAGGTGACTAATCTTTATTACAGTCTTCCTTCACATATGTTGCATCTCATTAACATTTTGATGGATTTTTAAAAATGTGGCTTGTATTGAAATTATCCATATGAATATTTATAATTATTTTATTCGTAAAATTGTATGGAATGCAAAGTCGATTTGGTAATATTAATACATATAAGAAATTAAGAAGCAGCATTTTTATAAAATGCTCTGTTTGATATTTTAAAAATATGTGTAAATAATAATCAGTTCTATTTAAAAATATAACATTACTTGTATTGGCTGTTGACATTTTAATACAAATTATAAATTAATTTAATTATTAATATTAAATTACACATATTTTACGTCTCCCAAACACTCTTACACGCCATAGTGTTCAAAGATAAAATTTCATACATAAATGGATAATATGAATGAATTTGTAAAACACAAAGTAACCTAAATAGTAGAAAATTATTTTCTTCCATACCAATATAAAGTATAAAAAATATATTAAATATAAAATACTTATTTGCAATTGAATATAATTGTAAGCATGTCAGGAATTTGTTGTTGTCATTTATAAAATAATTGAATTTAGCATGTGTGCAAAATAAGCATGCGGTAGAAGGACCAAGACAGATATTAGATTACTTGTTGATTTGTTTATAATTCTTTATGTTTGTTTATAATTCTTTATGTGTTAATTGTATATCTTCTTTTTTTCAAAATTAAATCTTTTGTTAACTAATACAGAATAAGATATTAAAAATGTTACATTTTGTTAATGAAGAACCTAAAATGCATATGTGGTTAGATATGACTGCTTTTATTGTTGTGTTCATTGCTTGAACTGACTATAAAAAATGTATTGTCAGATAGATTCTGACAATGATTATTTAAACATTTTTATATATAATGTACTGTTTGCACTAATCTGTTTTTATTGACAGATTATTGAATAACTAGTTTCTAAATAATAAGCATAACTTATTGTTGAACATATTATTTACTAGAATATATTAATATGGGGATTTCTATCAAAGTTTTTGAAATGCCCTATCTCTCATACTCTTTTGTGCATATGAATATATATATGTATATGCAATAAACATGTACATTATAAAACTACAAAAGACAAAAAATTGAATAATAATTTACAAAAAGATAAAAAAGTAATGCTATTGAGTAATATACAATTTTCCACCGTATGCTTTTACTTCTATTTAAAGAAATGAAAGAACTATGAATCATAGTTTAATTAAAGTTTCTACAATAGATTATAAATTAATTTTGACCTCATTGCCAAAGACAAAATTATTAATTGTTATTATTCTTTGGTCTGTTACTAATAAATTATACAATTACAATTTGGCATGCCTGTATTTTTTGAAATTACATTTATCTACGATAATTTTAATTTATTATAAATTTCTAAATAATATGGTGCATTCCATTATTAACTTCATCTAGTCCATCTAGTACATAAATAAAGACAGTATAATAATTTTTTATACTTAATTTATAAACAATTTATTCTAAGAATTGTGGTTAGACTTTGTGGAAGAAGATTTACAGAACAGAGAAGTTTCTCTACAGAAATTTTAAATTAGCAAAAGAACGTTCGCGACTAATTAATATAAAAAGTAACCTTGTAAATTTTATCATCGAACAAAAACGCCCTGTTGTATTCATGTAGGATTTAAAAAAATATAACAACTTTAACATAACATATTAAATGTTGTTATTCCACCAGATAGAAAACAAATTTTAAACTTTATTTGTATATCAATTTTATATGCAAGTGAAACTTCCTACGTTGCTATAACAACGTACATCAAAACATTTTCATAACCTATCTAAGTACTGAATGACATACAGAATATAATTATACCACTGTGCACTTGTTATAATACATAAAATATTTGTTCGAAAATTTTGAATCAAAAATAAAATGGCAGATCAAAATTCGTATGTATCTATTATCGTATATTTACACTGTAATCTTACACAAAACTCGTAATATTTTAATTACCTTTTTCTTAAATCGAATATTTTGTATATTTAAGAGCATTGATAAAATTATGTACATAAATATTACATAATTTTGTTTTAGTGAACAAAATGTTAGAGATATTGCTTTGCGTCTCTGTTTACAAGAAGAGCAAGAACGTAAAACTAATCCAAACGAAACTCATGAACGTTCAATTATCATCGTTGGTAGTAAGAGAGTCGTACGTAACATATTAACTAAAGCTATTAAATAATGATCTATTAATGCAAATTACATACTCACGTAATGGAGAAGAAATATGCATTCCTAGGGTAAAACTACAATGATACATCGTTTTCTCGAAAAAGATGAAACACCGAAACCAACTATCGCGATAGATTATTCTTTTGGACGTAAAGCTGGAAAGAGTTTAGTAAGTTTTCATTTATTTATGATATTGTATTATTCAAATGACAAATAAGTATAACAATTTTGAGTAATTTTTAACAAAGGTTATATAAGGTTAACTGATCAAAAAAGTAAATAAAATGTATATCGTTCACATACTGTTCGTGTACAAATATTTTGTTTAACAATTAAATTAACGAGGTTAAGAAAACATGCTTGAAACATATTAAAATAAAAAAAAAATATATGTTATTAGGTAATTATGTATGTGCGTTATAATAAAAAAATATTTAACTTTATTTCTATTTGATTCTATTATCGATGCAGATAAAAAATATCGTGCATGTTTGGGAAGTAGGACATTTAACTTCTTCGTTAGTATCAGCCGCAATGACAGGTTCATCTTTGACTCATTCTCCTCATCACGTCACGGTATTGATTATATTGGATTTATCACAACCAGACATTTTATGGACCACGTTCGAAGAAGCTCTCTCGGTTATTCGAAATGCAATGAAAATGAGTTACAGCGATAAAATGATTCAGGAATTAAAGCAACAGCGAGTTAAAGAACGGAAGGGAGCAGTGGAACAAGAGGTCGATCCGTTTCCAATGAAGCTTTGCCTTGTTGGTGGGAAATATGATCAATTTAAGGTATATCTCAAGCATATTTTCCAATATAAAACACCATACTGTTACAAACAGCGTGCACAAACATCCTATCGTGTTATTACGAAATTATAAATTATTCGACGATTCTAACATAGGATTTAGATTTGAATAAAATAAAGCTAATCGGAAAAACACTAAGAGCTACAGCTCATACTTTGGGAGCTGGACTCTATTATCATTCCGCAAAAGATAAGTCTTTACTACGAAGAACGAAAGATTTGTTATCTCACTATGGATTTGGTACTCAATTTTCGTAAGTTTCTAGTATACAACTATTATTTCAATATTTTTACATTTGAGTCGATATAATTTTCCTTCATTTGAAAATTATAAATTAGCGATATCAAGTGCCTAGATGTCGAGAAGCCATTAGCAATATCTGCCGGTACAGATTCCTTCTTGTCGATCGATTTGCAATTTCCTCAGACCAGACCTTCGATTATCTTAGATACTATCAAACAGATTTACGTTACTCATATACCGCAAGAGTCGAGAAGCAACGAAATTATTGTGGAGGATCCAAGTAATGATCCCAACTTTAACGAACCGATCATCGACAGATTACGAGCTCAACGAGAAGAGGTTGATACCATTCTATAAAAGTAATTTAATTTATACCTTGCAAAGAACGAAATAATTTATTTTCTTTTGATTTCTTTTTTTTCGGAGCAGAATTCTTCTCTCCTAAATTTACTAATATTTTAAACGACTGATAACTTTGACCTTTAGTTTATTTTTATTGGTATTATTTATCTCAGAAAACACAAATAATAAAAAAGTAACTTCTTTGTAGGAAATTAGTATTCTACTCCACGATATGTTGGAAGGCCAAATACCTCAAATTCCCATTCCGGATCCATCGTAAAGATTGTTCCCCTACGTGGATTTATCATGAATAAAATCTTCTAATAATACATGTTTGTCATATACTTGATCTTGTCGGGATTGAAAGAAACTTCTGAGCAAAAAATTCCAGTTAATTTGTATTTAACTCATCGCTATTCGAAAAGATGATTTTACGTTTACATTTACATACAGGTATATGAAATATGCAATATCATGATTGCAACATCGTGCACTCTGGTTCACGTGTTAAACTATGCTAATAGAAGCACTATTTGCTTACAATGTATGATAATATCGATAAGACTAACGATAAAGTATATCTATCATTTGTAGAAAAAACATTATATAACTACATATAGAATTATACGATTCTTGTTTCAATAAACATATATATATATATATATTGATTTTACTGAATTTAATATTCTTTTACGACCAAAATACTTGGAGCCACTTATATAAGAATACCAATTTTTAACAAAACGTAGTTAATCTCGATCAAAGTATTTTCACTCGGAAGCACAGCTGTGTTTCTTACTTTCATTGAAATATAGAACGAGTAACGTTACTCGAAGGCTGTCGTTTAAATATGATTTCAATCCTCCGTAAAGGTGAAACAACGCGTTTTCGTGTCATTGCGCACGCGTCTGTTGTTTCACCCTTTCCCCGACACACCGATTCACCGTGAAATCGAAGGGGTTATACTAAGAACGAGAGCGTGGCGGAAAGGTGGGGAGAGTGTCGTCGCACGGCTCTCAATTCCTAGCGGCAGTGGACTAGTGCGCTGATAAGAGCAGCGGCGGTGGACGATGACGCGTGCGCGTTACGGCGAGATGCGCATGCGCCTCGAGGTAGACGGCTCGCTCCCGATACGCGGATAGTCGGAGTCGAGAGTTTACGAAAACGGGATCCGGCTGGGGGGGTTTTCGCTGTGTTGCGGGCCTCTCGCTTTCTGGCCTCGGTTTTCTCAGTGAAAATGCCGCTGTGATAGAAGCGCGCGGTGCCGTGTGCTCTGTCCGGGCTTGTCGCGCCCCTGCAACGAGCCAACAGTCAACTGACCACGCGAAATTTTTACTGCACTACTTGCCGCTTATCAGCACTCCTTTCTCCCCCGCTGTCTTCTCTGTCTTTTTCTCCTTTTTTCCCTCTAACTCCTTTCTCTCGTGCACTCTATCCTTCTCGTTATTCGCGCTTTTTCTTTCCTTTCCTTTCCTCTTTTTTGTTTCCCTTCTATCTCGCCACCGTAGATCGGTCGCTCTGTGTGCCTCTTCTATCCCCACCTTCGCGAAACACGACGTCGCAAGATTTGACACTGGAAAATCTGTGTCGGTGTTGGAAGTGCCGCGCGAGTTTCGTAATCGTCTGCTGCTGACGGAGTTGTACCGGCGATTCGAACAGGTGAGTGGAAAAAGCATGATCGACAGTGTCACTGATTGGCTCCTCCCAGATCGGTGTCGTTAATCGTCGCACCTATCATCGTGAATCAGGGCCTCGGTGATTCGAATTGTGTCGAATCGATAAAAGCAAGAATTGACTTGGTTCTCTCCCGACCGACACAACGTTCCAATGTTGTATATCGCGGATCGTAGACCGCCCTCTTCTGCGACTGCTTCTCGCGGTTATCGATTCCGGTGTGAACGCGCCCTATCTAGACAGTTATCTGCGCGCATCTTTCTTATTTACAGGATTCAATTTTTTCAATGTTTGGTACAAGCACGCTACTGGAGTAACTTGTTTGGTCAATTACCGAGGAATTTCGTATTTCTAATAAATTTCGACTATCTTTCTCGTCGACTGTGACATATACACATTAACAGATTTGTTTATTTTACGTACGTAGTACCAGAGTCTCGATCAAAGACAAAATTTAGTCTAATTAACTTGACATTATGTTTGAACTTCGTTTTCCGGCAAATCAAGTACATCGATAAAGTCTAAAGTGACAAATTCTCAAGTGAAGAAACTGTCCATTATGAACAACAGTAGAATTTTATTTACTTGAAATTGTTCGTCACAAAACGAACAATTTGTATAACTAGCTCTTCAATTGTTGCTACCGTTAACTAAAATCTCGTTTGAGTAAATAGAGTTTTGTCGTAAGTATCATTTGCACAGCCAATGGGGCTCTTTCGTCGTTGCATGTGCGTGCGGAGAAAGCCTAAGGTGCTTCTCAAGTCGTGTTCGCGGACGCGTGTCAACAGTTGCAGCGTGATTTCGATACCACAGTTCACGGCAGGTAACTCTTGTGTTAGTCTTGTGTTATTCGACGAATTCGTTCATTTTCGAGGCCTGAACATGCTTGTCTAGAGGATGTTGATCGATCATTGGCATGTCAGTTTACTTCGTTGTACTTGTGATTCGATGACTTATGTGGAAATTGAACGGATTTAGCTTGTTTATATATAAAAGCTTACACGAGAAATTGTAGATGTACATACGTTTGGTGTCAGACTGATGAAATTACCTGTACAGACGCAAAATATTTAATATTTTTATTGAAGATTTAAGTTACACAGACGATAATGTTTCTCGAGTGATGGACCATGACAAAAGTATCTGCGTACATACATTGTATTATAGAGCGTTGAAAGTTTTCAAATGTTCAACATACACATTGCACCCAAAATTATTATCTAGCAATAAATAACGCATGTATAAGCGATAAAGTTTCACCCGTGGTATATTCCCATCGACCGCACAAGTTGTATAAAATTTCATTTGTTACGTAAAGCAACAAATGTTTTCGATTTTATGATTATTTTCAAGTGTTGCTTCTTTCATTCATCTTCGCAATCCGGAATCGAAATTACTGTGTAGTTATGAATATTTTTGCATGTTTTCGTAATTACGAGTAGTAAAGGCTTGGAGATAAGCTTGACAATCTGTAAATAATTGTTGGTATCACAGAACTTTGCCTGTCAGTTAGATAAGTGCGTCAAGTGTAGTATATTTGTGCTCTTTAATGAGAGTGAAAAAAAAGTATGAAATACGTAGTTTTTAGTACGTAGTTTAGACTAAAAGATCAAATTGTTATTTCCATAATGTTACAGTTACGTATTCGACAAACATTTAGAAAATGGGTCACCTCCAAAAAATGGATTAATTCCACTTTAAAGATGGATTTTGTGTTGATTTTTGTTTGTAAATCTAAAATTTGTTTACTTCAAATAATCTTATTTTTTCATCAGTTCCGTGAGCATTAACAATAGTCTGCAAAATTATATTTTGCAGCTTTTGTTTTTTTAAATTTAAGGAAACATATTCTTGGAAAACTCTGTCTAAAGCGTAAAAATAAGTCTGTAATTACAAAGATCGGTTGTATAACATTACATAAAGGAAACTATATTTGTACTTGCATAAGAAATAGGATTATACAGCCTGTGTCGGAAATATTCATTGCATTTTTAGTTAGACAAATAGGTATAGGCTTGCGTTACATATCGAATCGGTCGATATACGATTGCTAACTTTTCTTACTAACTACTCTGCTCAACGTTCAATTATAACTCTTTATTGATTGCTCAAACTATACATTATAGTATTATAGGAACAACACGTGAGTTATTTATAACAAAGTAGTCGACGTGTAGAAAGATGAAAGGCACCTAAATAAAGAAATTATTGCATCTATGTGACGACTGTATTTGTTTCTCTTAACCGGTAGATTAACAAAAGTTAATCTACCAGTTATACATAATTAATTAATCTACCAGTGTATAATTATATATCGGTCTACCAATATATAATTACATATCATGAAAATTAACGTTAAACCGATTGATATTTAGCAGAAAATCGACTTTTACCTTCAATTCGCGTGAAAGAGCCAAAGAAACTGGTCACGAATAAAAGCGGGTCAAGATCTCGACCCGTGTTAAAGGAGTAAGTATGTACATATATTTTTCACTGCTTTAGTTTTTACCAAATGAGATATAATCGCTATTTAACCGGCACTTTTATTCATTCTTTTTTTTCCTCTTCGTCATATTTTGCGTTTGTTTATTTTACTCAAAAACTGTTTAGTCTATTAACTGCTTACTAAAAACTCGCCAAGGATATGTTAGTTTGTGTGAAATCTGAAGAATGAAGATTGTGATCGGACGAAGATTTCATCTTAAACGACGGTACTCTTCACTGAGCAAATTTAAACGGCGAATCGTAACTAGCGGATAAGATTTTATCAGTGCTAGAAGTTAAGTACACTTGAGTTTCTCGCAAGACGAACTGTAACGCTCTGCGGGAGTATCTCTGAAATCAAAGATATAGAATATCTTCGTGTAATTGAGTATTACATAATCAGCAATTACACAGACTTAAGAAAGAAACGTTATTACCACTCTGATGTATTTAACTGAAAATTGCATTAGTACCATGAGATTATAAAGACATAAATTTCACGCATCGAGGAACATGATTAAAAATTAGATGGTAAATCTAATTTTTACAGGAATTTTCCTTCCTATTAATCTGCAACTGACTCTAATGAGGGAAACAAATTACCAATGGAATTACGAAATTTAATCTAACTGATGCTGAGAGAGAAACAAAGAAATTTCAGGCACAAAAAACAAGGAATCGAACAACTTTTGCTTTCTACGTGTGCGTCCGTATTGTGATAGTTTCAAATATAAAGAGAAGGACACAGATAAAATATATAGCACAACTATGGTAAATGATATAGTCAATTTATTGCTTACGAAGCTGAAATATTTTGCGCGTCATCAGCAGATCATTCAAAACGAAGTGTATGGAATTTTGTTGGAGTTGTCAACACTCAAAAAATGTAAATCACAGTCCCACATTTGCCGAATATGTACCTATACCTGTGTAAAGTGTTGCAATTAAATTACTAATTACAGGTGCATTTAGTTGAGTTTTCGCGAAATTTCTCTCTTCGTCAGTTAAATATTATCAATGAAAATCGGTTAAAGTTTCACAGAACACAAATTGAAATAATTATATGATACCATGTGAAAGTGACGATCGATTTCACATCGTGTGACTCTAACAATACACAACGATATTACTCTAACAATGTACAAAGATATTGAGAATCAAGAAGACTTTCACGCAAGTTGTTTCACGATGAAAATTCACCCGCGTCTCACACCGTTCATTTGATAAAGAATCAGTGAATAACGAGTGATAACGATCTGAACTCCAACGTGGGTAACTGCGAACAAATTGAACAAATACTTCCAACAAGCTGCAGGGCACGTATCTACGTGCGTGTGCCACGTGGCAACCGGGTCAATTATATTTCACATAACGAAGCAAATGCTCGTTATCCTCCAAACAATTCGATCATTGTCCTGGGGAGCACGCGTTTTCAAGCGTGAGATACGTGTTTGACATTTTAGGGATGAACTTTTTCGCAGAACGATCATAGACGATATTCACAGTGTGAGACGA